GAGGTTGATCAATGGACAATCAGAGGATTAACGTAGGAGATACTTTGAACGTTTCATTCAAGTATAACAGCTGACAGAGTCAACGCTAACTGTTAATAGGTCATGTTCGTATTCTCGGTATTAAACTGAACCTAGCTAGCAATGGAGGCTAATGCGGGCGGATCTTTTCAAATGCAAATGGAAGAAACTATTTTCAATGATATCCCCCCGCAATAGCCTCCATTGCAAGCTAATTCCTTGGCCCGGTTGTTCAAAGCACGATTAAGTTAATGCAAGATTAGCGTGAATTTTGATTTCAGTTTTGTAACTTTTCAGTGAGATTTTCTGTTTATATTTTTTGCTCTTCAGTTTTGACTACGACTAATGTGAAACTCCACAAAACATTGTCATGGAAAACCACATTTATATGGGAGAAATTGAAACCTCGATTATTTGTTAATCCTGGATTAGCATTAATGGGCTTTCGAACAACTGGGCCCCTGTTCAATACCGAGAATATGAATATGGCCTATTGAGAAATTGAATTTACAGCCAATTGATTGCTCAATCGTTATAACATACGTGATAACTGATTTTCATTTTGAAATGTTTACAGTTTACGATCTTAGAAAGATCTTTCAAATGATACGTAGCAAACGTCAATTTATTTAGTTAAAACTATCTGATGGATTTTACATCAGTTAGGAAACAGTTGTTCTATTCATCAGTGGATCTCATGAAGGCTTACTTTTGGACTATATCCCAGAAGAAGAATGCTGGCAACTATTGGTGATGGAGTATTCCCATTACTTAAAAATAGAATGTAAACCGCTGTTCATCAAACGATGTAAATAGTTCCATATATCAATACTGTTATCGATGAATACGTATCTCTCTCCCTCATATAACTGAATTGATAAGAACGTGATTCAAGAAAATTTCAGCATTTTTTCTGCAACTACGCCAAAAGTCCAGTTTTATCACTCCAATAAGACTTGAAACCACACCAAAGAAAAGACGAAAAGGAGAAAGAAGAGAGGGAAGAGAAAAAAAATAACTGGCATACCTGATCTTATTATATCGTACAAATAAATGTACAAATAGAGTACAAATAAATAAATGTTGTTGTTGTTGTTGTTGTTATCGTCTACTTTGGAGATAGTTTCTGAACGAGAAAAATCCAAAAAGCGTCAGAGGTCAAAATGGTGCAATTTTCTGCGACCATGTTTTTATAAATCCAGTTAGATATCAATACTGTTATCGATGAATACTTATTTCTCTCCCTCATGTGCCATGTTTTTATTTTTCATTAGAAAATGTAATAAATATCAGTAGTTCCAATAGCAGCCTTTGTGACATGGCAGGTGTTTAAATTATGAATCCCAAATCGCCGCAGATTAAAATCAGTGGGTATTATGGGGACAGTTTATGAATGTGTGCGTTTTTGAGGTAGTGATCTCTGCAATGAAACACCCTACGGCTCAATAAAGGTTTAAGTAAAAATGGTATTTTAAAAACATCTGACCCCCACTAGGAGTTCCGTTCCTTCAATGAAAAGCTCTGTTCCGTTCTTTTAAACAAGAATCCGTCTACAAGTGCAACGCAGATTTTCCGACTTAATTATTTCAAGTACCGCCCAAATGTGCATAAGGAGAAGAATGACTGAACATTTTCTAATTTACCCATTCATTTATGATTCGTTACAAAGTAATCTTACTCAGTTCGTGAACGAGAAGTAATCTGGGGCAAGTCGCATCTTGCAGTCCCTTGTGGGACTGTTACTGGGGACGCGTCGTCAAGCTGGCCGCCATTTTGTCCCCACTAACGGTCCCACAAGCGACTGCGAGATGCGAATCGCCCCAGGTTTCTTCTCGTTTCTAAAGTGGCGAATAGGAAAAGGACGTTTGCCGTTTGCTTCTTGTTTTGAAGAATGTTCGACGTGTGCTCATCCTCGGAGACCCAGGGGCAGTTTATCGGGGCATAACGAAGTAAATTGGGCAAAATCGGTGCGACGATGAGTTTTGCGCCGATTTTTGCCTGGTCTAATGCAAATGAGACAATCTGATTGGCTGAGCTACTCGTATACTATCAGCCATTAGTGTGCAGTGGATGGAGGTCGTCTACAAAATTGCGGTTAGGATTTAGGGTTATTACAAGACAATTGTTAAGATTTTTACTAAAACAATTAGATTTTGAGCTCGAGATTTCTATGATGTGATAGTTTTTCCCGTTTCCCGCGGCGCATGATAGTTCATGATAGTTATGAAAGTTGATACTAGTTAGGTGACTTGAACTATTATTGACTATCATGCGCCGTATATAGTATACTAGAGGCAGTATACTCTCTCTACCTTATTTGGAAATACCGCGAAGTTCAATTTTTTTTTGTCTCCAGCAATACATTTTCATCTTCATCTAATTCGACATTTCCCCTGTGATTTGTATATTACTTGTGGGCTAATGAATCCTCTAACTTAACACAATAGAAAAATACAAAAGAAATATTAGGAAGCCATATGGATGGACAAGAATACAGTTATTACATTGGGCTGCTCGACAGAAATCATGTTTGGCTCCATTTGTATGAAAATATGGTCTATAATGTTCATACATCACTAACATCAGCTTTGTTCGTCATGTAGCTGAGATTTCATAAGAAAATGAATATTTCAATATTGTAAGTTTGCATCTTTCGATTAAAAAAGATATGCACGGATCACAAAAATCCAGTCTGGGTGTTTCGAGAGTGACAAACAAAACAAAGTAAAAGCTGTGCACCTTTTATTCCTCTGCTACAATCGGAGGTGGCTGGAAACTAGACACACAGTATCAAAGGTGGATGCTTACGCAACAACACTGGGCAATGTTAAAAGCTACAACGCAACTGGAACTCTTTAATTTATAAACTAATGTTGTCTTAGTCTCGGCTCCTGCAGACAGGTACTTGTCGATGTTGTGGTCACTTGGTGCAGCATGAGAACCCACTTGACAATCGCCTTGGGAAAAATAATTAAGACTTGGTAGCCAAGCAATAGACTCCTTCTCAGACTCTCGTTGACTTTTCGATGCCGTGACGTCATGGCTGTTCTTCTCTGTCTCCAGATCAAAAGGAGTTCACGGTAAGAAAAAGAAGAGAGATCCGAGAAGGAGACTGGGAAATAGTTCATCCATTGTCACGCGTGAAGCAGAAGAAGGGCAGGAAAGAAGGGAAATTTAAGGAGATATAACAATAATAACGACAACCTTTCGCGCGCCATTCGCTGTGGTCCTGTAATCAATCTTGTTTGGTTCCCAGGCCCCTGAGTCGTTCAATCAATGGAGGATGTGAGTAGTGATATGCCGAGTACAGTTTGTCTGCCACAGGGAACCCAAGGTTGTCTTTGTGGAGCTTTATTAGGGATGAACGAAGGTAGGTGGCAAATCCAAGACTCTTGGCAAAGTCGTCTGCTTGAAACTCAAACTTTCGGCTGAGGACGGTCATCAGAAAGCCCAGTAGCTTAAAAAATAAAATAAAATAAGACACAAGAAAGCGGATTTACGGATTTTCTGTGGTCATTTTGACTTCTTCACTGCCAGACTAATTTAGTTTTCGGTTAGCCAGCATAAAGATGTCAAAACATGAATTAAAAGTTTTATCGCGAGGCAACGGTGCAGCGCATTTTACTACATAAGAACGTCACTTGCGTCACTCGGCTTTTCAAAGCAACAGGACAACTGCTTTGGAAATACTCCAGGAACATGCAGGCATTTCATTGCATACATGTATCTATGTTTTACTTGTTTCTGTACCTAACGTTTGTTTCAATTTTTGAATCCAGTGCTGTTCCCATTTTTGTACCTCTTTTGTATCTAATTTGACCCAATTTTGCATCTACCTTTGTACCTAATTTTGTATCTTTGTATCCATGTTCCACCTACATGTATTTATGCCCTCTTTTTGTATCTTAATTCGTCCATTTTTTTATCCCTATTTTTAACCTAAGTTTGCACCCATTTTTGTACTTATGTTTGTACCTACTTTTGTATGTAACTTTGTTCTTAATTTTCAACCTAATTTTGTACCCATTTTTGTGCGTATGTTTGTACCTATTTTGGTATCTAACTTCGCCCCTATTTTTGTTTTTATACCTAATTTTGTACGTATGTTTGTACGTATGTTTGTACCAATGTAACTTTGTAGTTATTTTTGTACCTAATTTTAAACTTTGGTAGGAGGGGGCGGCCAAGAGAGACGTGACAGAGAACCATTAAAAAAGAAAGGGCACAGTTAGGATTTAGAGCTTCGAACGAAGCAGAGACTTCAGCCAGAGACAGATCAACTGGGAGGAGGAGGATAGACAATGATGAATTTGAAACTTTAAAACCATGTTGAATGTATACAGTGGAACTTCAATTTCTTGAACCTCCACAGGAAACGAAAATTGGTTCGAGAAATCGGGAACTATGAAATATCGGGGGTAAAATTACAGTACTGAACTGAACTGAAAATTTATTTATACTCGGAATTCCATCAATTTACATTGGTTTTCATGAAAGCCGAGTAGTAGATATTACTAAAATATTAAATATGTACAATGTATATTAAGTAACTTAATTGATACAGTTTGAAAACAAGTTCAAGGGAAACAACTTTTGGTTCGAGAAATCGGGGTTTCACTGTACTTTATATATACTACTAACTGGGGGATATTGTCCTGATCAGTAACACCAAATTCTCCAAAATAGCAATAAAAGACATTACATGACGAACGGTAAAGATAATTATTTTATATTTCGATCTGTGTACTTACCTCATTGTAAGGTGAAAATATAAACTGGAATATAATCACCAGGCCGATCATGGTGGGTTGAGAGTCAGGAAAACCAAAGCTCGCAAACAAAACCTTGTTGTGCATTAGGTAACCAAATATCATGAACGAAAAGAACGTATTCACCTGTGGACAAGGAAATAAGGAACCACAAATGAAAATAAACTCACAAATATGGCTTTCGACACACGTCCCATAAGAAAGAAAAATTGTTGTCCCGAGCGGGAATTGAACCCACATCTCGCTGGTTACTAGTCAGGCGTGATGACCACTACACCATTGAGGCAATCTCGTTCCCAGACTTCTCGTTACCCTTGTCCAGTGGTGGAGCAGCCAACAAGGAGCTCTGGGGGGAAGCGATCCGCCATGAAAGGATTATTGGACTTCCGGCTCTACTGCGCATGTATTCGACCCCATGTTTCAACTAACGGACGCCAAGATTCTTGGACTTCCGGTCTTATTGCACAAGTCAGGGGGATCACTTTATCCCAGAGGTCCTTGTTGGCCACTCCACCGCTGGACAAGGGTAACGAGGAGTCTGGGAACGAGATTTCCATTGAGGTTGAGGCAACCACGCTGACAACACACTTACATGTAGGGTAAGGTGATTCCTCAGATTGTTTTTATTTCGAGACTATACATGTATGTGTGTTCCACGGCTTCTAAATCCCTAAACGGGTTAGGAAATAATATGAAGAATAATTTTGAAGCGAGTTTCACCACAAATGAAAATAAACCCACAAACACACATCCCAAAAGTGTGGGGAGCAGAAAACCTGTTTACTTATTAATAATAAGCTCCTTCCACCCCAATGAGTGCTCTACAGTGTTTCACGGGGACCTATGAGCACTTACCCCTACTTAGCCTGTTCCAGGTGTTCAGATAGGCATTGGGGGGCGGAGGTAGGCGGGGGGGGTGGACGATCGCCTTTTATTCCATTTTAGTTTTCATACAATTCCCCACTATCTGAACGCCTGGAACAGGCTAACCCTTTCTCAGACCTGAAGGGTACAGGTGTATATATATATTTTTTCTTCCTTTGACAGAAATTATTTTTTGTGCTCAATATTATATGACCCCTGAATTGTGCGAACTCCCATTTTCCAAATAGAAAACATTCAATTTATAAAAGGGAACAGAAAAAGTATACCCCATCTCATTCAGAAGGTCAAAACCCTACTCCAACCAGAGACACACACATAAAGAAGCTATTAGCTTCATAGTTCCCTAACATCTATGTCAAATACATGTACATAATGGACATTTACCTGTGAGATGCCAAGGTTCTTAAGAGTGTGGCTGAGTGACCAGTGACCCAGCTCGTGACCTAATATGGCTAATATCTCGTCATTTGAGCAGCCTTTGGTCTTTTTAATCTCACCATCTTCAGTTGTAACCTGCAGCGGCAGAAAAGTGATTAGCCTTAGTTTGCGACAGTTGCCCAAGCAGGCACATCCAAGGAGACCCAGGGGCAGTTAGTCGGAGTGACACGAAGCAAACTGGACAAAAACCGGCGTGACAAAAGTTTACAAAAACGGGCTTTCATCACACCCGATTTACTTCCGATTTACTTCTTCGATTTACTTCTATTTACAACTGCCCCTGGGTCACTGAGGATGAAGTAAGCCGGAACAATATTGCCACTTTGGGCAAATCTTCGTAAACACAGACATCTCCTACATGTATTCCCAAGTTCTTGCCCAGGAGAGAAATAGGAGACATCTGCATGCAAGCTAAGAATAATACAAGAGCACTTGTTTGTGATAAATTTGATGCTATCGAGATAAGTTACGTTGCTGGACGACTTCTCTAATGAAGTCCGTGGGCTCAGACAATTCCCTCAGCGTAACGTGAAAACGACACTGACATGGCATGACAAATTTCGGACTGCTCATGCTATTTCTAATATTATTGGTAGGTCCGCAGTGTGTGTGAAGATGCTAGAAAAACCTTGGTTTGTACCCAATCAAAACTGCGAAAAAAACTGCGCACGGGCAGCGGGGAGAGGCAGGCCTAAGGATTCTTTCATCGACGTCCTCAAACGCGACTCCAGAGCGGCGGAGACAAACGAACTAACCGCGTGCATGGACAATTGTATTGACTGGCGGGCCCCGACGAAACGCTTGTCTGCGGACGACCTAGTTAGTTAAAACTGCGATACCATGTAAAATGTAAAATAACAGTAAAGTATTTGCAGATTACTAACTAAGCTGGTGACAGATGGCGAGTATAATACCTCGTCTTTGGCGTCCTCTTCATTTTCCTCCACCTTCCCATTCTCCTGTCCTTGTTTTCACTGTTTTCTTTCTCATCTTTCTCGCTATCATCCTCATCTTTCTTCACAGGATTTTCTGCCAGTAAAGTGTCAAACAGCACTATTCTCTTGTTCTTGAAGAAGCCGTAAAAATAGGCATTGCTATGAGAGGATCTCTTGGAGCCCTCCACGATATAAATCTTGGTTAATGGAAATGAAATCCTGGCTGCTAACTGTTCAATGGCAGTGCACAGGGCTCCCTCAGGGAGAAGAGTGAACTTGTCAAACAGTGGAGCAATGTACTCCATGTACACAGTCACTAAAGCCTGCAACACAACGTGGTAATTATCTGTAAAGATTTTGATCATCTGTCAGCGATATTTAGTAAACGCTTCATCATAATAATTATTGTCAAAACACTTTACCTCATTTTACCCCCTTCCCCCCACCCCACCACCACTCCTGTAGCCTAATGATTAGCATGTTGGACTCTGCATAGAGCGCCAGCAAATTATCAGGGCAACCTGACAAAAATGCTAGGGGGTTACCTGCGATACTCCTAGTTGCTTCATGCTACAGAAAGAAGAGTGAGTTAAGCACTGGCCTGAGAAGCCACTCTTGTCGACAGACTTTTTTCTCCTGTACAATGTTGATGCCTGAATTGTACAGTGTACATGTACCATACATGTACCATACATGTAGCAATACTACATACAACAGAAATCGGAGCTATACACCTGTAAAACTGCAGACTTTCCAATGGTGCGAAGTACATGTACATACCAAGGTGACAATGAGTGTAAATAGCCAAGTGTAAACGAAGAAGTACTCTCCTCCCCACTTAATGATGTACAGTAACGCTGAAAACTAAAGGAAGTGATATGACCAGCATGACAGCAAGTTTCTTTACAAGATCCTTGAAGAAGAAACCAACAGTCTGTGGAACAAATATATAACAGTTGATGAATGTCATCTACAATGCACCTTTAGATATACATGTATGCAGTTCTTGTATACAAATAAAACTTTCAAGTTACAGTGATTCAAAAAAAAGTTACGAACCTTACATCACTCTGTATTACAGTATGTGCTACGTTGTGGCTAGTGACTTTTAGTGTGGTGTATTCAATGCTTAATAACATTAATTTTGTGTACCAACAAAATGAGGCTAACATAATTAGTCAATTTCCAGAAATGAGAAGAGCAGGTCACTTCCAGTGATTATTGTAATACATTTGCTCTCAAACTCTTTTCACAAACCTGTTTGTTGAATCCATGTTTTTGTTCAATAACAAATGTGCTATAAAGGCTCCAAGGAAGGTCAGTGATTGTACTGAAGAACATTCCAAGCAAGAGAAATGCTACAGACTGGGTGATCTAGGAAAAACAAATCAACATAATATTGTACTTGTAAATGGTACAGTGACTGTGTACATGTAGTTTAGCAAGGATTCAAGCAAGTAGGTATGCTGTGGTTTATTCTATTTATAAAAACAAAAATCAAACTGATCAGTTTGAGTTTTATTTTCCTTTAATTGTCTCGCATTCATTATCATAATCTGGTTTGTAAAAATTCAAACCAAACAAAATTTAATTTAAACCTCAATAAATACACATTTTTATAAGTGCTGAAGACAAGTTATTCCAAAACACCTAGATCAGAAGATCTCTATAAAACCAGCAATTCACAAATTATGATCTGCATAGTATTGACTGTATATGGAAAAATTGCCGGCTGCTGGTACATTTTGACAGGGCTGCTATACATCCATCGCAGATAACCCCCCAGCGTATTTGTCAGGCTGTGTCAGACTGACCTAACAAATCGCCGGTACCCATTTACTCCTGAGTAGAGAGAGGCACTGTGAGAGTAAAGTGTCTTGCCCAAGAACATACACAATTACCTCGGCCGGTGCTCAAACCCAGGCCGCTCAATCCGGAGTCCAACACGCCAACCATACATGCATTAGGCCACCGCATCTACCACATGTATCTGTATATTTTTTTTCTTATTAATTTTACACACCTCATAATCTGTTGTATATCCAAACCTGGAAATCAACACTCCAGAGGTTCTCCACAAGAATGGAATCCCACCAAGCATCAGGATAAGCTACAGACATGTAACAAAACAAAACATTTCTTTATTCAAATTAACATAGAAAAATAACAGTTTTGAATGATTTTCTTTAAATATTTTCTTGTTCAGAGATTTTGTCAAGTTAGTCAGGGAGCTTATGTTGTAAAATAAAGTCCCGTGGGATTTTAATGGTGAAAGCAAACCACCTACCTAGATGTGTTAAGGAGACCCTAGGGAACACAAAAATAGTTGTCGGCAATTTTGTAACTCGCACCGGCCGCCGCTACGGGGGGTCTCTTTTTGGACCTATATTCCTCAACATGGAATCGAGGCTGGAGCATACAATGTCATATAAGTTCAATAAACAACCACAAATGGTCACACAAACTACCAAAAAGCTTTAATGTAATGTATCTGACACATACCCACAACATTAGGTAATAAGACAGGTCACGCGACCAACACTGCATGGAAACGAGGCTGGCTATTTGCTGCTAAATAACAAGCACCCACATCATTGTTTTTTCATCAAATTATTCAGAGAGTGTATAAAGACAATAAATTTGCTTTGGGTTTAATAAATGTTTACACTAAAATGAATAACTGCCGAAAAAAATTGCGAAAAACAATGATTTTGGTCAGCAGTCTTTCTCATCGTTATAGAGGTCCGCCATCTTGGATTTACAGACCATCTAGAGCGACATGTTTTATTGTTTGTTCCGGTATGGAAGCGGATTGTGCATCAAAAGGGAAAGAAATTGATACCTTAGGATTAGATTTAAGTTTATGTATCATTTGTCAGAAGAAAGGAAGCGAGAATCTTGTAGAAAAACCTGCAGCACACGAAAAAGTTCGACGATCGATCGAAGAATGGGCTCAGTACGGCTATCTGCATTACTCAGAAGTTTGGAGTAAACTGCAACATACTTCTCTTCAGGAGCTTGAAGAAAA